ATTGTTTGAAAAATTAAATTTAAAGGAATTGTTTGTAAATAGGTATGCAACACATCGTACACTTCAGCATAAGAAATTACTGATACTAACTACGTAATACTACTTTGCCCTATGCTGACAGCACTCTTAATTTCTTTTATATATAATATTATACGTCTTATCTTTTCCTTACTAATTAATAAGAAGTAAACATTATTATTATTTACATGATTAAACCTTTAATTTAAGTAGGTACTTACATACGAAGTACCTACGAACAATAAAAATTAAAATATTTCTTTAAATTATTTAATTTAACAGATAATACATTGTACTTTTTTATGATAATATTCATTTTACAATTTTGTTTTTAAAAATTGCTTTAGATGTTTATATACCGAACTTTTTCCTAACTACTTCTGCTGCTGCTGCTGCTCCTACTACTAGTACTGCTAGTGCTATCACTACTACTGCTACTGCTACTAGAACTACTATTAGTCCGTTTTGTTCTTTTATTTTTCAAATTTCGTTTTATTTTTTTCCTACTAGTTTCACTGCTTGAAGTGTTTTTGGTGTTCTTTTTCGATTTCTTGACGCGTCTCTTTTTATTTTCATTCTCACTTCCATTAGACGTCGCTATCTTTCGCTTTTTTGTTTTCGTATGTTTACTTTTATTTTCTTCAGCATCATCATTAGAATCATTATCCTTCCTATGTTTTCGTTTAGCTTTTTTATTGTGTTTGAATTGTTCCTCACACTCCTGATCATCATTGCTCTCTGAAGAATTGCTCTGCTTATAGGATTTTTTAAAAACCATTTTTTCTTCCAAATCGTTACGTTTTTTGTAATACTTCCCTTCAGAATTTCCTTTAATATACAACTTATTTTCATATTTATATTCTTTCGATCTGCCTCCACTCAGTTCATATTTTGGTCTTTTTTTAATGTCATAATTTCTTTTATCTCCTGAAATATTTCTTTCTGAATGGTAATCTCTGTTATAATGTCTATAATTTTTGGATGAGCTTTTTTCTCTTTCCTTACTGTAATGCTTGTCAATTACTTCATCTTTAACTCTTCTTTCTTCACTTCTATAATTACCATTTCTTTTTTCTTTCCTATATTTTTCATGAGATCTGCTTCTTCTATATCTCCAAGATGGTGAATTTCTTGATTTTCTCTCAGAAGATATGCTTTGTATTTGACTTTTACTAGTGGCTTTCTCTGTGTTCCTTGAATGCCGATTTTCATTGAAACTTTGTGTTCTCTTATAATTTCCTTTTCCAGTATTATTTTTTGTATCAGTTGTTTTGCGACCTTCATCGTCATAGTGTGTTACTCCTCTTCCTTTTCCAAGCCACTTTACTTTTGCTACAGACTGACTGAAATCGACATGAATTCTTCGGTCATCTATTAACACGTTATCCATTTTAAAATAAGCATCCTCACAAGACTTTTTTTCATCAAACTCTATAAAAGCATACTGTAAAGAATCACCCGTTTTTCTATCTCTTATAACTTCACATGAATTTATTTTACCAAAACGGCTAAAAATTATTTCTAAATCGTCATCAGTAGTGACAGGATTTAGTTTACACACAAACAATACATTTTCAGGTGGAGCCATTTCCGCATCAGGAATATCTCCAACCATTTCTAATATGGTAGCTCTTGCTTTTGCTTCTCTTTCTGCATTCATTTCTTCAATTTCTTCAAACGTTTTACCATCGAATTCATTTATATCCTCATCTGGAGCTATTCTACCTCCCTGTAAACGTTCTGCACTTGGCGATGGTGATCTTTCAGGTATTCTCAATTTCTGAGGATCTGGAAATGGATCATCCAAAATCACTGTATGTGTTATTCTGATGTCCTGATAAGGACGATGATCATTATCACAAATTGCTTCGTTTAGTTTCTCTAGCATTTCAAATCCCTCTACCACTTCCCCAAATACACAATGTCTATTATCCAAATAACTTAAATCAGGAGCAAGAGTAATAAAAAATTGGCTGCCAATCATACACTTGTCATCTCCTACAAAGGATACAAGACCCATTTCTGTGTGCTTAATTCTGGGTTGTGTTTCGGGTTCAAAATAACGTTTTAAAGGTCCTTCAAGAACACCAAATATTGATTCACCGCCTGTTCGAGAACCAGTTGGATCACCAGTTTGAGCTATAAATCCAGAATTTACAGTGTGAAATAAGTTGTAATTGTAGTATTTTATCTTGCATAATTTTAGAAAATTGAGACAAGCTTTTGGGCGTTCTTTCATGTACAAATCAATGGTGAAATCTCCTAACGTCGTCTCGACAATTACAGACATTCTGATTGTATACAATTTTTAGTTATTGTGGTATTCTAAATTCAATAGATTTACATTTACTTTCCTCTACAATTAGGTGGCCATCGTATCGTAAAAATTATATATTATATCGAATTATTAATACCAACCGCCATACAATTAACCTATATTTTCAAATGCCACATTTGAAGGTTAGAGATTATAGACCATAGTTATAGACATTGTTTATAGACATAGGTTATAGATTTATATATCATAGATAACAGATACATAGTGAATATTATCTATGGACTTAGTGTACATCATAAATACTACACCAGACATAAAAATACAAATACTACTACAGGGCGTATTGACTAGACCTGCAGGAGGGCGCGTAAATCAGCGCATTTCGAGTTGACCATCTATTACCCTTTGTAGATCTATTGTCTATGTATTAGGTACTGTGCTAGATAAAGCGCCAAAAGTTATTAGAATAGGTTAAAAAAATAAACAAGGATAAATTACTTTGAACTGCGTAAATAATTAAGGTTTGGTATACTGGACTGTCACTAACCAGTCTGATCACTAAAAATACAAAACTCGACATACTTCAATCCGTCAACAACTGCTACATTCATAACATACTTCTTGCCTATGCTAGCATCAGTTTGGAGGATTTTTGAAATGTTATTTACTGCTTATAGCTGCACACTTTTTCAACTTTTCCCCCCATATGTGATAGTTTTCCTTACCTCTACCCTCCATACATTAACTATCACACGCTTATCACATAAATTAATACTCACTCATAATTTAGATCAACATGATTTTGTATCCATGTTAATGAAGAATTTTTTGAAATTTTAATTAGCAATGTATTTTTCTGATCCGACGGGACTTGAACCTTGACGAAACCCCTGTATAATCTACAGTGGGTGGATCGTCTTTAGGGAGTTAGACCGTAGGTTCAACCATAATGGGGGGGGGGGGTTCTTAAAGAGAAACCAGACTGAGGGCAGCAGCTTTTTCAGTACTCAGGGTGGCAGAGATCACGATCGGTATAGCACTCTGATGCACAATACTGCGATAAGGAAGGCAATGAGAAATCACCACAAGAACAAACCGAACTCAAATCATGGCGTCTTTTGGGGTAGAGCACTCGGACGTAAACTAGTCCTCCATTCAGATGTCCGGACGGGGACTACCTCGGGGGATGTCATCAATAAGTGCAACAGGGGTAGGTGCAATATTTCACGAGTCGGAGCGTGGAATGCTAGGGCAATGGGGCAAGTAGGGAAATTGAAAAATTTGAAAGTTGAGATGAATAAATTACAATTAGATATAGTAGGCATTAGTGAAGTCCGCTAGCCCGAAGCTGGAGACTTCTGGAGTGGAGAATTTAAAATAATACATACAGGATCGGTGGAAGGTAATTCGGGGGTAGGAATTGTAATACGTAAAAAAGCAGAGCAAAGTGTAGAAAGTTACTTACGAAATTGAGCTAGTTGCGGTTAAATTAAACTCGAAGCCGGTAAAAACGGTATTAGTGCAAGTCTATATGCCTACGTCATCTTATAGTGATGAAGACGAGAAGCGGTTTATGCAGATATAGAGGACGTGTTAAGTTTAATGAGAGGACAGGAAAACCTAATAGTTGTAGGAGACTTCAAAGCTGTAATAGGTGAAAGCCAAGACGGTTCTTTTGGACTGCAATAGAATTGATAGGGGAGATAGATTAATAGAATTTTGCGATAAACATAACAAAATTCAACATCATAACAACCATCACGTTAGGAGGCGCTATACGTGAAAGATGCTAGGGAAATATCAGTTAGATTACATACTTGTTAGGCAAAGATTTAAAAAGCAAGTGAAGAACTGTAGGAGTTATCCAGGAACAGATATAGATAGCGATCATAACTTAGTAGTTATGAAGACAAATCTTAAAATAAACCCAATAAAAAATTCTGAGAAAGAGGGAAGTTAAGAGATGTCTTGACTTAGAAAAGCTAAAATGTAACGAAACGCCTGATAAGTTAGGTACAAAGACAGACGAAATACTAAAGGCGGTGGGAGAAACGAATTACAGGGACAGCAACGGGAGTTAGAAGGTGTAGAGGTAGATCTAGATTAAATTATTGTTCGCAAATAGTTAAGGATGTGGGTTGTTCTAGTTTTAGGGAAAAAGATTAGCTCAGGATAGGAAACTGTGGAGGTGCGTGTCCAACTAATCTTAGGACGGACGACCTTCTGATGATAATGTACTTTTGAAAATGAACATTGTCCGGAAATATAATTTATATGCTTAATTTTTATATGGAAGGAAAACTTTCTTATTTAAAAATAGTTACGCTAATGAAAAATGATTTTGTCTGGTCATCGATGGTAAAAATAAAATTGGGAATTATAATGAGGATAAGTATTATATATAATTTAAACTGAAAATTCTATTTGGTGTACTTTCCAAATTTTGCTTAATCTTTGTAAAATAAGTGGCAGACTACTAAGTACATTAATAATAATTAAACTTTATTAAATAGCTTTTAGATGTTTATTTAATGTTACAATTTTTGTTTCAATAAATACAGTAAATTAACATTTCAAACAGTATCAAAATAAAAACACTAAAAAAGTCGATGTTGTAGACTTACCTATATTATTTTTTTTATTTTTACAATATAACTTTTTGTTATAGACTTACAGAAATAGAAACACTTATTAGATTCTTAAATTCTTATCAATTATTATTATTATGATATT